GGGGGGGGCCCAGCTCCGCAGCCACGCGCGGCCGTGCCCGAGGAAGCGGGCGGGTGGTGCTGCTCGCTGGGTTTGGTCGGGCAGGGGCCGGGGTCGTGACACACACCCCCCTTCCCGGGGCCCCGCGGGCCGGAGGGGGGTCCCGAGGAGTCCGTGGGTGTGTGAGGAGAGAGTCGGGCGTGGGGCCCGCGGCTTCGGGAGGTGGAGGCAGGGGCGGGTGGGGGAACTGGTGTGGCCGCTTGCTGGGCCAGCCACATGATTGAAAACATCTCGACTGCTGTTATTCTTTCCGAGGCGCGGAGCCGGGCTGCTGTTCCAGGCTGTGTCCAGACCCAGGAATGTGGTGTGACGATCACCAACTCCTCCGACCTGGCGGCAGCTTTTTTTTTTGGCTGCTCTTTTGGCATGGATGGGGGTGGGGCTGGGCCCTGCGAGGAAAAGTAGATCTGTGGATTCCGAAGGTTTGCTTTAGAAAGCTCTCTTTATAGTTAGAGAGCCCCTAGGATCTGTGTAACACGTTGGAAGCAAGTTAAGGAAATCGAATCACGAATCATGATTTATCCACTCCATCCACACTTGGTAGAGTCTAGGTGTCTGGTGTCTCCCCCCCCCCCCATGTTTAGTGGAAAGAGCTTACCTGGGTTTTGGGAGCTCTATGAACCCACCAATAAAATGCGTGGGTTAATTAGTAGGATAAATTGTAGAATGTATATTAAGTCCATGGCACTTTTCAAAAGGTGTTCAAAAAGTTCTTTCAGAGAAGAGGCTGTGTGTTATTCTTTAGGAACCCTGAGCTTCCAGTGGAATTGTGTCTTCTGCATGTTGGTTGAATTGAAAGGTGCCCCTTTTTTGCAGGAAGATGTTACTTTTACAAAAACAGAAAAGTGAAAAAAAACCCTAGTACATCAATCTCAGCTCTTTCCCAAGAAAATGAGCGTCAGAAAAATATGGTCTTTGTTCACTGTTAATAGGCAGCTGGCTTGACAATCACAGATGTTTAAATGGGAACTGGGTTATTTATCACCTGAAAACAGTACTGATTTGTTCAGTACCAGCCACATACTTCTTGGAAAGTTCAACTTTTATATACTGCTAGGTTCCTAACAATTTCAGTCAGAAGTGGGTCAAGAAGCGGTGTCTTGATGAAGCAAAATTGCCTTTTCTGAAATACTTAATAAAAACATATGGTATTTTTGCCTATTTTTTTTAGTTTAACAAGTTAAAGTTGTTTTATTTAGCAAATTAGTTTCCATGAGCCATAGTTTTCTCACTAGGACTAAAATCTTAAACTATTTTAGAGGATTGTAGGAAATAATAAACATGTTTGTAAGGTTATTTGCTAAAAGTGTTAAGACTAGTGTGAGAAACAGGATGACTAGCAAGGAGGACTTCCTTCATTGTCAGTGTCCAGAGCATGGAACTTCTTCATACTTAGGCTCTGCTGATGGACTGCTACTGCTGAACAGCTTTCAAGGGAATCAGGCTGAGTGGCTAAGGATAGGATTTACATATGTCAATTCTTAAACAGATATGCTAAGCTATTGTAATAGAAGAGATTAAAAAGCCTGTTTCTTGGTACAAATTTTGTATCTTCCCAGAGTCAAGAGTGAATCCTCTTCATTTATTATGATTGTGTTTTGCCTAGGTACCAATTATAACACACCCTACCAAACTTTTGAATGTTACTGTGCTTGGCTTGTGGCCAACAGTTAATTTAAACATCACCAAGTTCCTAAGGCAAAAAGCTGTCACCCATCTGTCTGGCTTTCTAAACAGGTATCCAGGACCACCCTGTGTTCCTTGTTTTCCTTTGCTTTGTAATGGGAAGTTTCTTTCTATTTTTGTTGTGTCCCAGATCATCTCTCTACAGAATTCTTCTATTTCTTTACACACACACACACACACACACACACACACACACACACACACAGAGTTTTTAGGTGAAGATAAAATTTTCCCTCTCTTTTTGGAGGGATTTGAAGAGTAATTATTCGTAGTCTCCTTTTCCCCTTATGTTTTGATTTAAAAAAAAATTTAGTCATTTCTTGCTGGCAACCCTGTTTCCATACTGTGGCTTCTGAAGGCTTCTTAGGTCAAAGTGGATCAAAGTTTGGTTTGCTCGAATTGTCTTTGCTCAGACTTCAGGACCTTTAAAGAATGTCTAAATTCGCTGGATATGCTCTAATGCTTCAGAGAAACCTTATAATACATTTTAAAAATATCACACCCACAGAAATTCTGTTTTGCCCACACAATTTGCATTGATTGAGTTCCCACTCTCTGCTGCCATTCCTAGCGATTCTGTTCCCTAGTCCCTCAGTGGTAGAACCAATGTGTCTGGCTGCATCAGAGTCATCGTAGTGACCCTGGGCACTCAGCACCTGGGGATTCTGATTGAGTGGGCTAGGGCATCTGTATTTTTAAAAAAAGTTTTAAGTGATTTTCACACAGCAATCTCTTTGGAACTCCAAGTTAATTCCATTTATCTGCCTTCAGGTGATATATGGGACTATTGCTTGTAGATTTTGATAATTTCCATAATGAACCAGCCATTCTGGCGTTTAGTTCTTAAGTAATTTAGAAATGGCTAAATAAAAGCTATAGAATATAATGTCATTTTGTTCATCTGGTCAGTGTGTCTCTGTCATCCCTTTAGAAGGGCTTTTGATATGACCTATTTTATATTTTTCCTGTCCTTTTCAAACTCTTCTCCTGGCTTCATTTTCTCTGTAAATTACTTGAAACCAAAAGATTTTCATTCTTACTCTACTTTTTTTCTTTGTCACTCTTATTTTGGAAAAACCAGAATTCTCCTCTAGGTCTGTTACTAATTGGCATGGTTCCCATGTACAATAGGTCCTGTTTCCAGCCTCCATTTTCTCATGTACTTTGGCTAAGGTCAAAGCCCATTAGAGTTGAGACTAGAGTTTCTTGTCTGTGGTCCTCAGGTTCACGGCCTCGTCTGGTCTCCACACTGCTTCCATACAAATGAGCTCATGTACCTAAAACAGAACATCCTCAAGTATGTATTGTTAATGTGTACTTGAGGAAACCAATTGTCTCTTTTCATTTATATATTTGTTCTAATACTCCTGTACCTGGCATACTGCTTTGGCATCTGGTAATCATTTTACATATTTGTTAAGTTGAACTATTACTTTTAGTCATTTTCTTATTCTGGACTACTATAGTACTCCTGAACAGTTTTTAAATAGTAACTGCAATTTATTTCTTACCTTTCGTTTTGGGGAAAAACCAATTTTTCCCCTTCCCCAGATGTTTTATTTAAGCTTGTCATTTTGACTTGTTGAGTTTTCTCTGCCCTCCCTCCTTCCCTCCCTCCCTCCCT